ATATACATAGAATATACATATATACATATATCTGAACCCCATTTAAATAATAATGAAACTGCAATCCAGCTTTCGCAAATTAAATATTCTAAGGACAGATTCGCAATGCAATTTAAGACTCAGAAGACAAATTTCTACATTTACAGTTACAAACTTTTTTCTTTTAAATTCCCTTATTGACAAATTAGAGAGTGCGAATTCTTAGAAAGAAAAAAAATAATTGGAGTTATTTAAAAGAAAGAGAGTTCTATGGATCGAGCGATTAAAAGAATCGTTTATAAAGAAAAAAAGTATTATGCTCTCTAATGTGACGGAAAAGAATTAAAAGATTAAAGTTATTTTAAGAATGGGAACCTAAAAGGCGAGACACAAGAAACTTGAAACCTTCTCTCTCGAGAAACTCGAGAATTATTATTTATTAATAAACTTTTTAAAAAATCACTAGTACGACTTAACTTTGATTACACTTCGTTCCGATATTTTATAAACACGCAATTTCAATAAAATACGATTTAGATATAAAATATTCAATATCAAACGTAGACTTGTCATTGAATATCTAAATTATTACAAGTGACAAATAAACATGGCTCAAAATGTTTAAATCTACAAATTTTAGAATTCAAAGAGCGTTTAAAATATCATTCTAATGCATTATTTAATTAATTAGCAATTAATTAGCGATAAAACTTTTACGATTGCAGAATCGCTCCGCATTTAATTATGCTGAAACTAATGTTTTTAAATTATGCAACAAATGAACGTGTGCAACTTTGTTAGACGTAAAAGATGGGATTGAGCATGTTTTTTTTGGTCGGCTATACAAATTAAAAATTTATAATTAATTTAGACTTTGGATATATGTATCATCTCGTGCATAATTATTATTGATTATTTTATCATCCGCGAAATCAAATATTCAATGTTATTTGAAGAAGTCATCAACATATACTGTCTAAAGTAAATATATTTATTTAAAGAATCAATTTCATTTACATAGGTTAATTAGTTCGCTTCACATTAAATAAATTTTGTTTGGAACATGATGCCAAATAAAATCGATCGGCAAACATTGCAACTGCAAATATTAGAGCGAACGAGTCGTCAAATTTTCGGCCAAATTCATTCATGATCCGATAATAATCCTTGCCGGATCCGAGCCACTCGACCAAGAGAAACGTTATTTCCATCAGATTTCGGCGGAGCCCTAAATCACCAACCACAGCAGGAATATCCGCATTAGTGATGCACCGAGGTATCTTAGCTCCCTTGGTATCTAATCCGCCGATACCGGGCTATTGTCGCGTTCATCCAGGATTAATTGGAGACATGACCCTCGCACTTGCCAGATAATTATGCGCCAACTGCCTACGTGTAGATATATTTCTATAGAACGTGTAAAGAGGAAGGAAAAGGAAAAGGAATGAATCACAGAAGAAAGAAAGAAATAAATATGGGAGCTTTCCATTCTTTGCTTGCTATTTCTGATTTAACCTCTTTAATTGTTCCGTGAAGAGGGAAAATAGCGGAGTAGACTTATGAATTAATAAACTTCTAACTTGTAGGATTCGAAAGCTCTCAGCTGGAAAATAGTTTCTAATTATTGGCCATTTATGATTTAGTCTCTCAATTGTTGCGTGAGCAGAGAAAATGCACACACGAACAAGAGTAAATATGTATCGTTAAGCTGAAGCGGATAATTTCTACTGCGCAGTAGTTTTTCATAAGTTCGATCAAGGATAC